CAAGGTAACAAGGTAACAGAGTAACAAGGTAACAGGGTAACAGAGTAACAAGGTAACAAGGTAACAAGGTAACAAGGTAACAGAGTAACAAGGTAACAAGGTAACAGAGTAACAAGGTAACAGAGTAACAAGGTAACAAGGTAACAAGGGAACAAGGTAACAGAGTAACAAGGTAACAAGGGAACAAGGTAACAGAGTAACAAGGTAACAAGGTAACAAGGTAACAGAGTAACTAGGTAACAAGGTAACAGAGTAATAAGGTAACAAGGTAACAAAGTAACAGAGTAACAAGGTAACAAGGTAACAGAGTAACAGAGTAACAGAGTAACAAGGTAACAAGGTAACAGAGTAACAGAGTAACTAGCAAACAAGGAAACAGAGCAACAAGTTAACAGAGAACAAAGCTTTAAGGCAACAAGGAACCAAGCAGAAAGAGTGAAGTTATAAGTTGATTAGGTGAAAGTGGTACAATATATGTCCCCATACATGAAGTACCTACCAGGTACAAGGCCAACGCCCCAGCATCGCAGGCTCATGGATGCGAGCTTCTGAGCAAAGGCAAAGATTTTTCGTGCAATTCTAGTAGGATATCGCCCCTTTTTAAAAACCTCAGCCGACCTCGTTTAAACTCGGGCCTCCAACCCAACAATCAGGTGACTTACCTTTGTGCTGAGCAAGTCGTGGGTTTTAAGTTATTTACCTTACCGTAATTCCCCACTGCAGAAACTATTAAGGGAATGGGTGCAAGCTCTCGATGCAACAGTTTTTGCGATCCTTTGAGTGAACGTTAGATAGTTTTCTATTGGGCGATGGTATCCAAGGCAACCATTAACCAATCATAAGTAACACTTGTCCATCCAAACGATCCCAAATATCGTTGTGCCGAAAGCTTGTACCCTTTACCCTGATAGTTTCTGGAATGGAATAGTTTCCCTGAAATCTTACTTGAACAGAACATACCCCTTCACTTCTGTGTTTTCAATCTACACACCAATATCCTTTAACCATACAAACGTAATTTTTGTTGGTAACGTTTAATACTTTGAGGGTGGGGAGGGCAGGTGCAAAATATGAGAAGGGTCACTGACTATAACTCTGAGGACCTCATAATTTTGTCCATCAAGGCCGGATTCTTCAAGGAACAGTAGTAATCTTGAATGGAAGGAGATAAGCTCCCACCTTGAACAACATTAGAGAGCACTAATGGTTTGAAACAAGAACAATGCAGCTCTCATTGTTACAAAACAAAAGGTATTCATAAGAATAATTGTGAGAGTCAGTGAGAACGGAGAGAGATTATCTCGTAACCAGATCTCCCATGGCGTAAGACAGAGTGAGATCTGGGTACGAGCTTAGGAAGAGGATCAACAAAAATCCGCTTCATAAAGAAAACGATGTGGAATATTTGAACAAAGAGTATCTTGCATTCCACAACCTGCCCCTGACCACTTCCCAACTACTTAGGACTCTTAACACGACTTTTGCGTATTTGTTTCTCAAAATTTTCAAGGAAATTCAGGGATTACTCCTCCGTCATCAGCGTTTGTAGCTTGTTGTCGAGGCGCACCAGTTTAACTGCCCACACGAAACTTGGCCGCAAGCTATTTCAAGGTCGAGCCGAGAATTTAACTATCGCCTATAGAGAGTTTTCTCATGACGTCACGACCGACATATTGATGTCCTAGAATAGTGAAATGGCGACCATGTTGGTACACCAATCCAACCCTGTGGGAGTTCAACCTTTTTCTTATGCAAAAATTTTCTATTGTTTAAAGAATTTCTAAAGCTGCTGGCCACGTGATTATCCACGTGAGTGAAAACGCTCTATATTAACAAGAAATTACTCAGCATTTGTACTTTACGAATTTCTTTAATTGACTTGAGTCGAGTTGCATTTAAAGCTGTAACAAATGTTTATTGCAGCCACAAACCAAATGCATTCGATTCAAAATTAAGCTACACTAAATTATAATATAAAGATACGTTCTTTGCAACTAAATTACATTTTTTTCCCCATTAATTTGTCATTTTCAAACAAACTTCACTGAGCAAAGAACCATTTTTTTCTAATGGAAAACATGCGCTGTCGCACCCAATGAATCCAATGCCTTTGTTTAGTGGACTGAAAGGGATGAAGTATCAACTTCCGGTTGTCATTTTTGACGTCCGTCCACACTGGATCAGATGACGTACAAGTCACAATAATCAATTACAATATTTATCAAACGCTAAAACTCCTATTAACTCATGTTGTATTAACCTTGGCCTCACTGGACCAGATGGTCTACAGGCCACAGTCATCAGTTACAATATTTATCAAACTCTAAAACTACTAGCAACTCGTGTTGTATTAACCTTGGCCTCACAGGACCAGATGGTATACAAGTCACATTCATCAGTTACAACATTTAACAAACTTTTAAACTACTAGTATAATTACTCGTGTTGTATTAACCTTGGTCACACTGGACCAGATGACGTACAAGTCACATTCATCAGTTACAATATTTATCAAACTCTAAAACTACTAGTAACTCATGTTGCATTAACCTTGGCCTCACTGGACCAGATGGTGTACAACTCCACTTGAGTGCAAATGTATTTATCACGAAAGTACTAATTGTGGACACTATTTTTACGCCTCCTACTGGAGACGGGACCGCCATTTTACGTGGTCATCCGAGCCACGCGAAAGTTCAGTAGCTTGAAGTGCAGAGAGATTACCTTCATTTGTCATATATTTTTAAAAGACCCTGAGTAATAATCCGGCCACGGGAATCGAACCCGCGACCTCACGCTCTGCAGTCATGCGCTCTACAGACTGAGCTAATCCCGCCTGTTCAGTCTGAGACTAAAAACAATGTAAAATTTCAAAATATGTACACAGAAATACTCCTTTACAGCACTGATGAGTACCAGCCGCTTGATGCTCTCAAATCAAGCACTACACTGTAGTTTTATCTCATCCCTTTACGCCCCGTTCATATGAAGAAAAAATGTCCCGAAAAAGAGGGTCACCCTCCAGCTGAGTCAACGGAAAAAATACTTGATCCCTTTGCCTGAGCCAACAGTACTCGCACATACTCTGATTGTCTCTTCTTGACCAAGTTGACCCAGCTGGGCAAGCTAAAGTGTTTACATGCATAAAAGTTGGATCAGCAAGGAGGGTGACCCTACCACCACAAAAGGGTGAACCGGCGGCTTGGCGGGTCACCCTTCTAGCCAAGCCAACGTTTTTTCACAACTACACGGTGCGCCACGTTTTTTAACCCTTTAAACCATACGATCAAAATTTGAATTCTCATTTGTTGCCCCTATTCATTTCCTACAGAAGTAGTGGGGAGAAGTTGATAAAATATCAAACAATTCATCTTGTGTGATCATGTCCGTAATTCTCATGACCACTCTGTTTTACAAAGCATTGATATTACAAGGAGAAATTTGATGCTGATCACTCTTAGGGCTTATAGGGTTAAGGAAACGTATGAAAGGGTGGCTCACCCAGGGTAGCTCGGGTAGACGGCGGATTTACACTTCTACCCGGGACAACTTTTCTCCATATAAACGGACCTTAAAAAGCTGAAAAAAACTCACGAGGAATGGGATTGTGTGACATCGTGCAACCAGGTAAGTTGAGCTGACCATGGAAGGCTTTACGAGACTAAGCAACAAAGTGCAATTTTCAAACTAAGTTATGTCCAAACTACGCTGTATAAAACTTGCAACGTCGGTTTTTGTAAACGATTTTTTAATGCGTGCGTCCGAATCGCCCTTCGAAAGCTAAATCTCAAAGCGATTTGTTTTAACTAATTTGACTTGTTCCAGTCTTTCGAAAGTCAAAGCGCTAAAAACGAGGTTTTGCCATTTTCAACTGCACGCGAGACACCTATGAAGGTATCTGATAACCTTAACGCTATACATAGTGGTGTGAACATAACGGACTTCAGGCTGAGCTTCCACAAGAAAAAATAGCCTACATTACTTGCACATGTGACACACCTGAAGGTATCTGGTAACCTTAACGCTATACAGAGTAGTGTGAACATAACGGACTTCAGGCTGGGCTTCCACAAAAAAAAATAGCCTACATTACTTTCACGTGAGACACACCTGAAGGTATCTGGTAACCTTAACGCTATACAGAGTAGTGTGAACATAACGGACTTCAGGTTGAGCTTCCACAAGAAAAAATAGCCTACATTACTTGCACGTGAGACACACCTGAAGGTATCTGGTAACCTTAACGCTATACAGAGTAGTGTGAACATAACAGACTTCAGGTTGAGCTTCCACAAGAAAAAATAGCCTACATTACTTGCACGTGTGACACACCTGAAGGTATCTGGCAACCTTAACGCTATACAGAGTAGTGTGAACATAACGGACTTCAGGCTGGGCTTCCACAGGAAAAAATAGCCTACATTACTTGCACGTGTGACACACCTGAAGGTATCTGGTAACCTTAACGCTATACAGAGTAGTGTGAACATAAGGGACTTCACAGTGAGCTTCCACAAGGAAATATCCCGTTATCAAAGGAAACATGTGTAATGTAGCTTGAAACAGAATGATTTTCTGTGACCTTCAAATGATCACACGTGGCCGTAATTTAAGGCAGCAATTAGATTAATTTAGCTGGATTTGTGACTAACCATTTAATGAATGATAACTTAACGAAAGCGATATAGCGATCGGAGCACTATATTGAAACTAGGATGGTTACGAAACATTTCAGCGGGACCGAAGGAAAGTCGTTTTAATTTGCAAACAGAGAAAACATAAAATGTCCAAACTTGAAACAAACATTTGTAGATTGACCATTTTGCATTTTTAATTAGAACCTTTATTTTTAAGGGTCGGTTTTCATGGTGACTTCAAGATTCACGAAAATAATAAAAAATTAAACCACATTTCTATTGTAGATCACATTTTATTTGACAGTGACATATGTTCCTGGGGGCTGGAAAGCACACAAATCTCAGCTCTATTCTTCTAATGAATTAAACCTTATGACACCCACTCTCTTTTCCAAAGAAACTTACATCGAGTTCAAGTAAGGATAATGATCTGCTTCCTATTAAAAGTTTACTTAAGTCATATAAACGACTTTTACCTGTAGCACAATGGTTGTTCACTTTTAATCTCAGAGTAGTTAATGAGGTGTTTTTCTTTAAGGTGTCGGAAAGGCCTGTTAACCAGTCATCACTCACGTCTCTGCTACTGTTGAGTGTCAGATTGAATGTTGTGACTGATGTGCTATTTGCCAAACCTTCAAAGACTCTAGATCCGCGTAAGACCTCCGGAATAAGCGATTCTCCATTACCACCCTCATTTATTGTGACATTTAACGTAGTTATTGACTTGTTCCTTGGTAGTCGATGATCGAACATAATCGGCCAAGCAATATAATTTGTTTCACCTGCTGCCACAGTTACTGTTAGTGTCAGTGTAGTTACTGACGAGTTTAATGACAGACCTTGATTAAGACTAGAAAACATACTTGAAAAACTTGAAAAAACCCAGTCAATGGGATCGCTAATAAAAATTGCTACACACAATGTATTTAATGACCTTGTTGTCCCCAAGCCGTTACAAAGGCCACTAAAAACGCAAAAGTCTGAAATACCCACGTCAAATGTGAGACTAAGTTTCTTAAGTGACGTGCATTTTATCAAACAGTCACCTACAACCTCATCCCAAAATGAAAACATGCTATTACTACGGATTGCAACAGAAAGGGAAGATAATGATTTGATCGCCGCTAGCACGTTACTCAGTTTAGTCGGAATCAAACAATTCTCCTGATTCTCCTCAACATAGTCAAAGCTGCTGAGTGCAGGACTCAAACTATCCTTCTGATTCCACTCGCCCTCGCCGTTTATTTCAAGACTGAGTGTAGTTAAAGATGCCATTTTGATCAAACGCTCACCCAGTTTGCATTCCCATCCTTCTTTCATGTTACTGAAGTTGAATGTGAGACTAAGAGATGTTAAAGAACTGCTTCGCAATAAACTATTCCCGAGGTTTTCTCCCAAATCTGCATCCACGAAGCAGCTGTTGACTGTAAGATCAAGCGCGGTCCGAGATGGATTTTCTGCCAAAGCATCACCTAGACAACGTGTCCACTCCTTGGTAACATTACTATCGTTATTGATTGCAAGACGGACGTTTTGTTTTCTTCTCTCCTTAACGTTAGTAAAAAAGACTGTCAATGCCACAGGATTATCGGTAGTGGTAACAAGAACATCGTTCGACTCATCTGGGCCTATACGCACATCATGTACATTTAACTGAACGCGACTGTTTTTTGAAAGGCTGAAAGGAACATTACCTCCGTCTGTTATCAACTCGCCCCATATATTGACGGACAGGGAAGATAGTGTCTTGTTTTCTTCCAGACATCTTGCAATGGAACTAGAAACTTCGCTTGTCAAATTTCCACGCACGTTTAAGGTGAGAACAGTAATGGAGGAAGGTGCCAAGACTTCACAAAGAGCTTCTGCCGCTTCGCATTTCATCTCACCCCAGACGTTAACAGTTAAGTGTTGCTTTACATTTAACCCTTTCCTAACCTGAACAGGACGAAAATCATTCTTTGCTACGTTGTTAAAGGTATTTGGATAAAAAGAACAGCAAAATGGGGACTTTTTCGCTAAGCGAACATTTTCCACAACAGAATGCCAGTTACCAGGGAGCTCACCGTGGACACGCAGTCTTAAATAATTTAAAGAACTATTTTCCATAAGCCCTTTTTCCAGGAAACGGGCACTAGAGGAACTCAGCGGTCCATCAAGATGTAAATCAAGAGATTTTAAAACTGTTTGTCTGGCAAGTGCTTGACTGACAGCAGCGACTAACAAATCCAGCACACATCCAACAGTACAAAGAGAAAGAGAATTGAAGGATTTATTTGACAAAAAATGTTGTAAGCCTCGTGTCGCAGTGTACTTCATTGAGCCCCATAGCACGAGATTAACAGACGTCAGCGTTGTCAATCCAGTTTCGAACGCATTAAAAAAACTCTCGTTATAAGCATATCCAGGCAAAGCAAACGTTACTTTTGTCAGAGTTCGACATGAAGCCAACCCACGGCCAATTTGAACCAGCAGCTCATATTTTTCAAGACATACATGAGATATGTATTTAAGAGTAAACTCTGATAAGCTCTTGCTTGCAGAAAACCATTTGCAAAGACGATCTGCATCAGATGACGTCAAAGATCCCAGATCATGAACACGAAAACTTACGATTGTCAGCTGCGGGCAGGATTCTATATAATTTACTACGTCACTTGCTCCTCTCTCCCGGTCACCTACATGTATATCAGTATAGAGTTCAAAAGGTGTCCTTAAATTTGAAAAGCTTGTCAGCTGCGGGCAGGATTCTATATAATTTACTACGTCACTTGCTCCTCTCTCCGAGCCTCTTCTCCCCCGGTCAATATTAGCATAGAGTTCAACAGGTGTCTGTAAATTTGAAAAGCTTCTGCAAGCCATTAAAACCTTGATAAACGACGCATTGTAATTGTCTACTAGCTTGGAAGTGATGACCTTTGGAAAAGGTGTAATGTTACAAAGAGTAACTGCCATTTGTGCTGCATGTCCACTTTCATCAAAGCTTTGAATAAAGAAAGTAGCAATCTTCTCATTGCAATGCTCGTTCCAATTCCAGTCATATGACTTCTTTAACTCCTCTCCAATCTGGGTGAACAGAACTGTAGCTTTCTGGCCCAGCATACCAGAAACAAAAATAAACACTTGTCGATATTTCGTTACCATGTCATCAAAGCTTATGTAGAGGTGCTTAAATACATTAAACTGTTCATTTACTACCTTCTCTGCAATATACGCGGCAGCCACGTACTCTTGGAAGGTCTTGTGAAGAAAGCAGTACTCATGTTGAGGCTTAAGTCTCTTTAGACTTTCTTCCTTGTAAAGAAGTCCTAGCTCACGAGCTACCAATCCGGGGTATTTCCTTTCAAACTCATCCATTTCAGATTCACGGAAACCATAACGATCACTCAGCAGGCATAACCAAGCAAGCTCTCCGAGTGCAAGAACTTCCTTTTCAAACATTTTCTCTAGGACACTGTCATCTTCAGGGGCGGGCCAGTTGCGTTTGGCGCAGTATCGCCTCAAAAGACATTGCACAATGACTTGGTACAGTTCCGTCCGGGAAGTCGGCAATTTTCCCTCGTAGTCCTCATAAACAACACAAAGGAGAAGTAAATTTAGCGGGTTATTTCGGAGTGCATTCAAGAAGGCGTTCTGTTGCATTTCCTCAATGAGCCTCTCCCCCTTTGGTGACTGACCAATGGTTTCAAAGTGTCTTCTGACATACGCAATAGAATCACTTTCCGTGTACCCTTTGATTTCTAAGTGAATGTCAAACACAAAGGTTTTTCGTGCTTCAATCCCTCTTTCCTGTCGTGTCGTAGCCAAGACATAGCAAAATGGAAAAATTCGTCTGTGAAGCAGCTCATCTACATGGTGCCGTGATTTTTCAGGCAGCTCATCCAAACCATCCAAAATGATAAAAATTCTCTCCTGGTTATGAATATCCTTCAAGAAGTGCAACAATTTCTCTACAATCTTCTCCTCAATATCTCTGGGCAGAAGTTGTTCTCTTATGGTATCCATTATATTTCCATCAATGTCTCGACATTTGAGGAGCAACACAACTTCAAACTTGGGAAAGGAACACTCTGTTGGGATTTTTCCATGTGTAGTGTCATAGGCAAGTTTAAGGCAAAACGTTGTTTTACCGATTCCTGGACTTCCTTCGACAAGCGTCATGACATCCTTACCTTTTTCAAGGGTCTTGAAGATTTCAGTCACGTTCACCTCGTCATTTCCACTCACTAAGTCTGGTTTTTGTCCCTCTACTAGCCTCATGACATCCTCAACTTTATCAGGAGCTTTGAAGAAATCGAACACATTAAACTCATTATTCACGTCCACCCTCAAGTCTGGACTTCCCTGTGCTAGCGTTAGGACATCCGCACCTTTTTCAGGGGTCTTGAAGATTTCAGTCACGTTCACCTCTTCATTTCCACTCACTAAGTCTGGTTTTTGTCTCTCTACTAGCCTCATGACATCCCCAACTTTATCAGGAGCTTTAACGAAATCGAACACACTAAACTCGTCATTCACGTCCACCCTCAAGTCTGGACTTCCCTGTGCTAGCGTCAGGACATCCGCACTTTTTTCATGGGCTGTGACGTCGAACATATTCGCCATATTGGCTTCCATCGGGATGGCCAACTTTCTTCTTGAAATGATTTTCAGTCTCGTGTAAACGTTCTCAAGGGGTAACTCGATAGTGCTATCCCAAAGAAGTGGTCTTAACAGGCAGCGCCTTTTGTATTCAGCTTTGAGCAGTTCAACAACAATCGAGTTGTCCCAACCTGCTGGAAACAAAAAGGTGAGGGAATATTTGTCAATAAACACAAACGTAAAGAGTTGACATTCCAAACGGATTAATCTCACTGTGACATGCTTTTCTCTCCTCAGTAAGCAGAAAGGCTGTTAATTCTCCTTATTTTGCTTACAGATAAGTATGTTACTGTCTATACAAGTATAAGTTTTCGATGACATAAATTAAAATACCTTCTGGACAGAATACGCTTCACCGAGACAATGGTAACATTTGCGAAAAAGAAAATGCTATCAACGCTTACATTTTTATGAAAACTGTCTGGCATATACTCTCTGTAAAAACAATTCACTTTGAAGGTTCATTTCTTAAAAAAAATAATGGACAAATCATTTGCGATCCAAAACAGAACTGAGATCACTCTCAATCTTGTGACAAGTGATTGGTTTGTTCATTACACTGCAAATACAAAGGGTAAGGAATGTGGTTCGATTTTCAGCAGCCTAGGCTCCCAAGCAGACTTTCCTAGGGCGTCACGAACCCTTTAGAAGGTCTGCGTAGGAGGCTGATCTGACTGACAAGAGGCTACCGCTAAATAGTTAGTTTCTTACACTGGAAGTAACGC